AGGCAAATAATCCCTACAAAATCCTGCCAGTCAGGACCTTGCCCCTGAAATATCATTTCCGACAATGGAGTTATCAAGCGGAAAAACACCATCAGAATATGTTGCAAACAGAACCCAGAAAAAGAGCTGGAAAAGAAAACCATACGAAATTAATAATGGAATCAAAGTTGAACTACTCACTCCACCATTAGCAAGGACAATTGCCATTATTGCTGCCGCTTCCATAACCCATGACAGAGGATTCCACATAAAACTAAGGAATTTCAAGAACTTATTTTCCTGCGAAGGAGCAATTGAGATTCTATGAATTGAAGTTTACATTCGTTTCATCTGGAAATTTAAATCATCTTTCCAGTTAAGGTGATTTATGGTAAAAATTGAGTTTTCTAATTGCTTCAAAAAGTAATAGAAATGGAATTAGTGGTTACTGGCTTCTCTTCAAGTTTGTTTGGACCAAAAATCTTCAATCTGGCTTCAGCATCTTCGGACGAGAGTCCTCTGTGTGATGTTCTCAATTGCTCAAAGACCTCCTCTAGTGGCAAACGCTCCTGTCAAATAAACATTTTGAAATGTTTAGTACTAGGAATTGCGTATTCCAAAAAGTGGCATTTCTGCAGAACTTACCAAGTCAATCCCCTCTCGGTGGAAGCTCTCGGGATTCAACAGTGGTTTCTCCAGATCCTCAGCCATGATTCAGGCCTCACAACCTGGAAATTACAACAGATTTTTCACATAATCATCAACATGGAGTTTCTGTAACCTAAAGCATCATAAATGGTGCTATATCACAGCCATGGATACTACTTGCCTACTCCATTGAAATATATCACAGCCATGGATACTACTTGCCTGCTCCATTGAAATATATAACTTGACCATTTTAGTTGCATGAAAACACACATGTATGAATCTGCAGAATGACATGCTTGCAAGAGATTCGATTATAAACCCTATCTATGTACATTGATGTTGAATAGAATGTATCCAAATCGAAGCATACAATTCAGTCTCAGCTGAACAAGTCCAGTCAACAAGTCGGGCTCAACACTGAGATGTTTCAATGTTTTCCCCTTCAAGCATTTACACCTGGGCGAAGTTCTAAGAGCCACAAAAGCAAACAATCCGATCCTTGAAGTTGAAAGGATATTTCTTGATCTGTGATGTACTAATTACTTGGTATTTCAAAATCCGCAGAAACTATAAATAGCAATAGTCATAATATCAACACCAGTAGTACCATAGGTAATTGAAGTTAGGAACTAAATTATGCCCCTCTACTGTTCATGCACTAAACTATGCTTGTGCATTCACCACTGTAAAATTAAAATGGCCAGGCTCAACCACTGTGACTTGAATTGAACGTTAATCCAGCATCTCACATGAAAAGTTCACATTGCAAATCCAACAAAAAAGGAAGACACTGAAATCCCCCATAACTGAGAAGCAAAACCAACCTAGTTCAACACCCCATATTTAGCTGAGTAAACACACATATTCATCGATCAACTAACCTTTTGTCAAATCGGGTAAAGCTTGGAAGACTGAAGAAACACTAGTCGTGGAAGGATTGAGGAGGGTTCTGTTTCATGAGCGTAAAGAGAGTTGAGAAAGGGAGGAGTGAAGTATGAGATGTTTAAAAAGGAACGCAAATATCATTAGATAATCATGATTTGGAAGCTGACTGTTAGGTTGGGGATTCATGAAGAGCAGATGATCCTAATAATCCTACAATGTCTCCATCTGTGCTTAGCCATTAATTCCTTCAAGAACTAGAAGACGACTAAATTCTTAAGCTTGTTTGAAACAAGACTCTCTACCACCCTGTCAAGGAATAAGGAATGACCGTTGCCCAACTACCTTTCAAAACTTGCTCTTCTAACCTAACTGTCCCTTCCCATTTCCCTCCAAAACAGGCACTAACCTTTTATGGCGGTGGGGGTGATCAAAATGCGCAAGGAAAACATGGAACGTCGGAGGCTACCACATGCACCAAACTAGTTAAGTAGGCTGATTGGTTGGAGTTCCAAACCTTCATGGGATTTGATTATTTCTTTTATAATCATTGCATGTAAAGTAGTGTTAGGTAGAAATACTTTACTATTTCCAACTTCGACAATGATTTGGATCTATGCATATTAATCTCCAGCTCCTACAATTTGTTCCACACGTTCTCAATAATTCATGAAATTAGGGTTGGAATTGGGTTCGCAATATTTCCAAGAATTTTCTTTATATAGAAAAAAATAAAATAAATTTATATTAATCAAATCAAGAGAACTCATCCAACCCTTAATCCTAAGGTTCAAATATTATTTGTTTTTGTGGTTTAAATCATGTTACATGATTATTTGAATTTTATTTTTTGAAATTAATTTTTTTAATATTTTTTTTTATGGTTTTTAATATGCTGATATTATAAATAATTTAATTTTTTTAAATATTATTTTTTATATTTTTCTCAATAAAAAAAACATTAAAAATAATTGCTACTACTTTAGGACTTCCAGTTTGATTAATTTATGTATACTGTATGAGACTCCAAATTGTTGTCTGATGCCTATTTCCTGACATGGAATGTTGACCATCAGGTGCCAGTGTTCAGTACAGCTAATCTACCGCACCAACCAAAATAAGAGTGACGTGTAATCCGAAGAGATCCCTTTGACATGGAACCATCGATTTTCCCCAACAACCAAAATAGCTAATTCTTAGACACGAATGGGCCACTGCTGGGCTAAGAGCCTGACATTTCAATCGTTGTTGGGCCGGCCCGAATCGAGCCGCTTCAAATGTCTTAAATATGTTTTATACTTATAATAACTTTCACCTCAATGTGACAATTTAACCCCAATTTACCCGAACGATTCGAACGGGTAATTTCTTTGGGTTAATTACCTTCTTGATGGATAATAGATAAATTTAGATATCTTGATCCAAAAAATATAATTTGTATTATATGCTATTAGTCTAATATAATATACAGATACAGGTACACATATAATATTTATACATATTTCAAATATATATATATATATATATGTTTATTATGTTGAATAATAAATATTAACCGGGTAATGAATACCTAATATATATTTGAAATCCAATAGATAATATTTAAATTTCATCTAATAAATAATAAATAAGATATAAATATACTAAAAATGAATGCTTCTTGTCTTCCTGCTCTAACTAAAAGAAAGAAATATCAAATGGAGATTTGACAACATCAGAATTGCGTGGAAGATTTACTGGTTTTTATTTATCTACCATGAACGTTGGCAACTAATAGGATTTATTGTTTTTCATTTTAAAAAATCACTATTCTTTTGTTTTTTTCTCTCTTCTCTACTCAACATCTTTGCTTTTTTTTTTTTTTTTTATGTTCATGTATGTATTTTTGTTTTAATTTTTTTTCTTCTTAACTTCACTTACAATCACATTAAAATAATATTTTTTTCTTCTCCTTTTTTATTTTTTTACTATATATATTTTTTATTTTATTTTTAATTGTTTTTGTTCTTAATAATTATATGAATACTGTTGTAGGATTTTTTTCATATGATTTTTTTCCAAGCATTTTGAGTATTATAGAGTGTTGATTTATATTAATTCAATTATTTTATAGTTTTGTAAAGTAGATTTTGTTAGATATTTTTAAATAATTATCGATGAAATTACATATGGTATTTTTTCGAAGGAAATACCAACGGAATGAAGTCAATATTTTTTTACATGTATTTTTCATCAATAAATCCATCAGTAATAATATTTTTTTTATTACTAACAGATTTACTGATAGAAAAAAAATTACCAAAAAAAGATTCATTGACAAAAAATTTTCATCAGTGATTTTATTAATAAATTAATTATCAATAAAATAATAGTATAAATACTAATAAAAAATTCCGTTAGTAAATCTAAAGATTGTGATAAAGAACATTAGAAAACATTAAAGTTCTATGATATCAAGATTTACGAATACAGTCCTGATAAATACACACATGTATCCAGTTACAACTAGGTTATTTCTTGTGCTAAGATTGGACAAAAAAATTAAATGGAAAAAAAATTAAATATAAAAAAATAATATTTTAATTGCGTGATATTGTCATGAAACTTGGTCTAGTAGGTTGAATTTGAAAACTCTTAACCTGGCTCATTATCTAACATAAGTTTTAAATTAAATAATATGATGGTTTTTTTAATATGATTTAATCGATTTAGTTGTTTTAAAAAAAATCAATAAATAAAAAAAATTAAATGATTAAAAAAATATAGTTTAACTTAAAAAAAATTTAAGATAAAGTTTTTTTTTTTAAAACAATAAGATAATAATATATTGAATTGATTCAGGTGATTCAGGATTAACTTGTTATATTTGTTATAGACTTTATTAAGTTTAATAATATTTTAGTTATTTATTTATATAAAAAAATTTTAAAATATAAAAAATAATTTGAATCTAATTAAATATTAATGGATAAAATAAAAAAAAATTATAAAAATTCAATGTAAAATAACTAAGAGAGAGAGAGAGAGAGAGAGAGAGAGAGAGAGAGAGAGAGAGAGGGCTATAGAGAGAGAGAGAGAGAGAGAGAGAGAGAGAGAGAGAGAGAGAGAGGACTATATTTATTCATCGAATACACAACACAAGAACACAATGATCGAGTAATTCAGTATAAACAAGATCCCTCAAGTACCTGCGACAAGCATCCAAAGGAGGGAAGTTTTAATTGTCACATCCATAGTTTTAAAACCCGACCCGGTCCAGTGATCAGGTCATAGGTCAAATGGGTTGACCCGGGTCAACCCCAAAAAAAAAAACTTGTATAAAACACCTACTAATTACAAATTTACAATGCAACACTTACATAAATCAAATTTAAATTTTAAACTAGCAACATAAGTTTAATTTAATATCCAAAACACAAACCAAATATAAATTCTAAAATATTTTAAACAAAACATCCAACAATATAAATTCTAAATCAACAACGCATTCACTTTTGTTGAATGAACACATTAAGTTCTTCCGTGTCCATGGGAGCAAAATTCGGATCAAATGTTGATGGAAATGAGCCAATCTCGTCAACACCTAATAAATCATCAGCATGCTCCTTTGAAACTTTATCATCACAATCATCTTCAATCTCATTAACATTTATGACATCTACATTCTAAACATAATTAACAAATAAATATTATGTGTTAAATAATACTTTATTTTAAATAATATTTATCACTAAATAATCAATCATTAATTACCATCATCTAAAGTATCTTGTATGGTCATAGTTGAAAGAGCTTGGTGAAAACTCTCTACTTCTTCTGTTGTCAAGATTGATGGGTCATCTTCAACTACCCAATTTTCAATGTCAAAAATTGTCTCAACATTAATTGGATCATAATTTCATCCTTTCCAATAATTCCTATATATTAAAAGTGAAAGTAAACACAATATAAGTATTAATAATTCTACTAAACAAGTTAAAATAATATTTAAGGAATTAGAGAAAAGAAAAATACTTTTGTTTCAATCTTAGATTGCAGTGGACGTAAACAAGGTCATTAAGCCTTTGGTGCTCCAATCTATTTCTCTTCTTGGAATGAATATGTTCAAACATACTCCAATTTCTCTCACATCCTGAAGAACTACAAGTTTGACTTAACACTCGTATAGTCAATTGTTGTAGATTTGGAGCGCTGGTTCCATATGTCATCCACCATTCATCTACACAAAAAAAAAAATTTAGTAAAAGTGTAAGACTATGTCAAAAAATATTTTTAAATATAAAAATTATATACCTGGAGGCATAAGGATGCGATTATTTATTGCGAACACTCGACCAAAGTCATATTCAGCATTCCTAAAAAACTTCATCTCACTTGTAATCTTACTTTGCAATGGTAGATTTCCATGTGCATACTTCTCAAGAACATCTAGAAGTCCAGAAATGGTGCTCATATGTTTATCCATTATATTTGCATCATATTGAAATCGAGGATTCAACCAAAATGCCGCTGCATAAAGATTTCTATAAAATTGTCCATCCCACCGAATATTGATAATGTCTATGAAAGGTTTCACTCTAGGCTTTCTCTTTTGAAATCTCCTCATCATTTCTTCTTTTGCATGATGAATAGCATCATACAAATATCCCATCGAAGGTCTATCATCACCATCAACCAATCGCAGAACTCGAACTAAAGGTTCACTCATTCGCACAATTATTGCACATTCTTCCCAAAACAAAGAGTCCAGCACACTCTCAACAAACTTTTTTCCTTTGATATCTTTAGCATAAGCAGATGAGACCCATTCCCTAGATGTCACCATAGCTCTCAACTCATCTTTATGAGCTAAAATGCTTTGCAATGCAATGAAATTGGTGGCAAAACGAGTAGGAGCTGGACGAAGTATTTCTTTTCCTCCAGTGAACTTCCTCATCAAATACAATGGATAACAATGATTATAAATGTACTTTGTGATACCAGAAGCATGCTCAACAACACAACAAACTGACTGCAATTTACCAATGTCCTGGAGTATGAGGTTGATGCAATGAGCAACACAAGGAACCAAAATATTGAAGGAAATTCTTCCATCAATAACCTGCCAACAACAACATAATTTGCAGCATTATCAGTCACCATATGCACAATGTTTTCTACCCCAACATACAAAACAACCTCTCTAAACAACTGATACAACAATCTAGCAGTCTTTGAGACATCTGATACATCTACGGTTTTCAAAAAAACTATTCCTTTAGGACAATATACTAAGAAGTTAATTAAAGTCCTCCTCTTTTGATCTATCCATCCATCAGCCATTAATGTGCAACCAGTCTTCTTCCAAATCTCTCGATAACTCTCAACATAAATCTTTACTTCATCAACCGTTTTTGCCAAGTAATATCCACGGATAGCATGCAAGTTTCGTCCTTTATAATCAGGACCCATGGCTGTTACAGCATCTATGGCATGCTGATAATACACAGAATTAACAGCATTAAATGGCACACATGCATCAAACATCCATTTCGCTAAAGCAAGATCACACCGTTCAACTGCTTCTTTCCTTTGCCAACAATTCTGAAGAGACTTTTGAGCACCAGGAGTTGTTCTCGGCATGAAATATGTCCCTAATGTTGCAGATTTCTTCTGCTTTTCATAACTTGTAGTTGATTGTTTTATAGTGTTGGTGCTTTGAATCTTTTTCTTTTTTGCAACCTTTGGTGGTAACATATGTTTTTTAGTATTGACATCCTCATCCTCATCCTCATCATCACCATCACCATCACCATCATCATCTTCTAATTGTCTAATCATCATCTCTTCATGCTCCCTTTGTTGTGCATTAAATGGATTGAAATCTGCTTGCATTTCTCTAACTCTTTTTTTTTTTGTTTCAACATTTCCTTTAAGGTTCAAAAGCATTTGATGTCGAACATCAGGAGGACATTTGCGACATTGTTCAACTTCTCCTTTAGCTCCAGCTAAATGTTGCTTAAATCGATTAATGCCACCACCCGCAAATACTTTAGCACAATATAAACATACTAATTTAGTTTTTTTACAACCAACACTAAGTTCAGGAGCTTCTCTACAATGACCCCATACCAAATCTGTTCTTCCTCTACCACCACTTGACATGGAAATTGAAGGTTGAGATGATTGGGCCGTTGAAGGATCACTACTTGGAGTACTACTATCATGTGAAGACATTTTAAGGATCTGGCATAATTTATAAGATTACTACCATAATTAAAGTTTCAATTCATTTCTATAACAAAATTTTGATTTCATTATATCAATTTAAACAAAAGTAAACAAACAGGAAAATTGAAAACTGAAATAACTAATCTAAATAACAGTAAACGGCCAACCCATCCAAATTCTCATAATTGCAGTTCAATTGTAACTAATATATTATATCAACATCATAGAAAACTGAAATGGCCAACACTATCCATAAAATTGATATATCAACATTACAAAAACTAAAATGGCCAACACGGATAAAAGAAAAAATAAGAGTGCTAGTTCTTTTTCACTATACAGATTAACATGGAATAGTCTTAAATTGTAATTCAATTTCAGCATCAACAGAAGTAGAAGCAAACGAACAGGGACAGGATAACCAATATCAATTTAAGCAGAAGTAAACGAACGGGGATGACCAAAAATTAACAACAATATTCATAGCTACTTGCAAAATATTCACAGCTACAAAAATTAACAAACGGAATATTCACATTTCACAACATTATTCACAACAATATTCAGAGCAAACGAACATATATGTTACCATTTGAAATTGCAGAAAAATAGAAAAACAGAGAAAATGAGATACATACCTGTGAGAAGAATCGGTAGGAAGAATTGATGGGTGAACAGAGGGAAGAACTGATGGGTGAACAGAGGGAAGAACAGATGGGTCAACAAAAGGAAGAATTGATGCTACTGTTATACTCTCCTGCAAGTTCAATGAGAGAAGAAGATGAAATAGAGGATAGCGAAAGCCGAAAGAAGAAAGAAACAAGTAAAAACTCATCTAACCTTATGCTCTGAATTGAAACGGCGATCAAGGATTCAAGAGTCTTCTGCTCATCTGCTCTTCTTTGTGACGGAGTGAAATGGGTTTAACGATTTCTTGAAATTAATTAGGTCTTCTTTTCACTTCTGCAGTTTTGTTGCTCTGCAATGCGTTCGTCTCTTTGCTCTTGTCATTTTGGCTTTTTAATTATAAAAGCTCAAAACGACGTCGTTTCAGGCATAAGGATATATATAAAAAAATAAACCCGGGTCTCAGCCGGGTTTGGCCAGGCCTTCCGGGTCCCAGGTCGACCCTCCGGGTCGACCGGGTCTGACCAGGCCAATTCCCAGCCTGTTTTTTGCTTAGACCCGGCCCGCCCATAGATCCGGGTCGACCGGGTCCCGGGTCGACCGGGTCCCGGGTCAACCCGCCGGGCCGGGCCGGGTCTTAAAACACTGGTCACATCTCGTCTCTCGCTGTTTGCATTGGTTGCCTCACCATTTCCAAACTGACCGGCAAAACTAAGAAAGAGCTAGCTGGGTAAGACCTGCGACCGCAACACTCCGAATATTAATGAAGGAGTTCAGTCTTTTCTTCTTCCGTGAATTTTCTAGGTTATCATTTTCTTGATTCTATAAAACACATCCAGATCAAAAGTCATAGACCCGTGGTTTTGTTTAGGTGATTAATTATGGTATTTCGATCTGGAGCGAGGATGTTAATTTAGCATCATCGTTTAATATTATACTATACTTTTAAAAAAATGAAAAAAAACATTGTATTTACTGTGAATATAGATTTATTATATCATAAATTATATGGTAAACATATAGCGTTTATATTGTAACCAGTATTGTAGCATCATGAGAGTCATTATCTTTTATGTATTTAGTAAAAAATTACTGCTGGATGTGATCGGCAGCCAGATCCAATACCCAAGAAAAATCTTTTTAATGAATCGGCTATCTTTGACATATAATTGGCTCTAAAGAGAGTGTTTAGTAACGTTTTTAAAGTAATTTTTATTAGAAAATTTATTATTTATTTTATTTTTTAAAATTTATTTTTGATAACAATACATTAAAATAATTTAAAAATATAAAAAATAAAATTAATTTTAAGAATTTTTGTTCTTTTTTGTGAAATACCGGGCCGTATTCCCAATCAGTGCGTTGCATTTTTGTCATCCCGGCGTATTAATTCGGATCTTTTGAACAAGAAAAGCTCCAATCTGTTATCTCCACAAATCCCAAATCCACTTCTACCATTTCTCCAACCCAAACATTAATCTACAAAATCAAGCTAATTATCACCATCTTCGCATTTCGTTTTTCTTCATTTGATCATCTTCAAACTCCAGCAGATTTATCATGGTTGATTTCAATTATGAATCAGAGGTTTCTAATGCGATCCCGCTCACCAGCCAGGCTGTTGAAGGCCCTTTCGTTGATGTCGCCCAACGTCATGCCCTAAGCCTTGCCACAGGCTATTAAAAGCATTGCCACTCTTGAAGGAGATGGAGAGGTTTCTTCATTTTTCTTTTCATGGAATGAGTTTTTAGATGATTTTTGTAATTTAAGGTAAGCTTCTTTGCACTTCCATTTCACTATTTATTTACTTCACTAATTCATTTTCCACTTCCTAAATGGCTGCAAGTTGACTTGGATAAAAGGATGGTTGGTGCCATGGTTCTTACCACTTTGCAATCTGCACGAGAAAATGGGCGTCGCAGAAGCCAGTGATTGGCATTTCTCTGTGGTTTGGTTGCTGGTATTGCTGCAAAAACTCTATTGAATATCTTGCACATGGTTTTCAGTTTTCAATACAAAATAAATAGTGTCACCTTTTTTATTATTATTAATGTTGGTGTTCGACTAACTTATATGTATTTTAATTAATTTTATAAAATTTAAAATTAATAATTATATAAATTTTTAATAATTTTAAAATAATTCAAACTTGTAATTATTAAAAAAAAATTGAAATTCTATCTAGTTAAGCTATCATCAAAATTAAAATAATGTCACTCTTTAAGTTATATTAATTGCAAGAATGTCCAGTTATAGTTAATGTTTTGTTTATTTTTGTATTTTAATTTTTTTTATAAAAATTTAATTTTTTTTATTTTTTATTTAAAATTAATTTTTTTAATTATTTTAATACGTTGATATTAAAAATAATTTTTAAAAATTAAAAAAATATTATTTAAATTTATTTAAATAAAAAATACTTTTAAAAATAATCATAATAACATTTTCAAACACCCTATTATTGAAAGAGAGTATTTGAATTGCCAAACAGACTGTGAAAAAAAGATATAAATGGATTATTAATTAAATTAATCACGAGCCCTATACTATCGAGACTTTTTTGCTCTCGAGCTACAAAAGCAAGCATACTAGTACGGGGCCTTTCTATCGTAAGAAGTAATTTACGGCCGAAGAAGCTGACATCTTCGAAGTCACTCATCCACGTACATACATTGCATTTTGATTAATTATGCTCTAACTTAGAGGCTAAGCCATTTATAGCGGACAGACTTGATTATGTTTTGAAATCCCATAAGATTAGTAATAAAAAATTTTGGTGATTGAATTATCAAATGTTTATTTAAATAACTATTTTTTTAAATTAAAAAAATCTTTTTCTTGATAAGTGCTTCTGAAATCCTGCAATTTTTTTTTTAAAAAAGGATTTAAAGATCTTTAAAGAATAAATTTAATCATTTTATTAGAAAAAAATAAATATGCTAGAAAATATTTAATTTTAAGAATAAAATTGTTTTTATATTGAAAATAAACATGTTTTTAAATGTAAAATATTAAACCTCTTACTTTAATACTTCAAAAAATATTTATAACTCATAAATTTTATTTTCATAATAAAAAGACTGAAGTCATTTATTTTATCTCAAGGAACAAAAATCCCTATATATATATATATATATATATATATATATATTCATGGAAGGCCACTGTTAAATTTAGTCCATCTTCTCTTTGTTACTATAAATTTAATTTAATTAAATTCTTAAGTAGCTATTTGTCGTCTTTGTAGCTGTAATTATCAATATTGTAAACATTTAATGATTAACTGGGAAGGAAGTCAGAATTGCAACCTATATTGTCAATATTTAGCATCTAAATTCTAACTTCTTTTCAATTATGCCTTTGACGTTCACAAAGCTTTTATATTTTATTAGATTTATACACCCAAATAAGATGTAAACCGTGTTTTGTATATAAAAAAATAGTTTAAATTTAAATTTTTTATATTTTTAAATTATTTTGATGTGTTGATATTAAAAATAATTTTTAAAAAATAAAAAAATATTATTTTAATATATTTTTAAATAAAAAATATTTTAAAAAATAATTATTACTGCACTGTTAAATATTACTTCATCAGTGAGATTGGAAAAATAGACTAAAAATAAAGATAATCAAATAACTTACCATTGATAACTAATGGATTGGACTAAGTTGCAAATAAATAAATAAATAAATAATACAAGCAGCAATATCGGGTTAATGGAGTATTACTGAAGAATGCTATCTGCTAGTTTATCAAACCAGAAATAATTAGTTTTTTTTTT